ACTGAAGAACTCTCAGCACTGAAGAACTCTCAGTACTGAAGAAACTTCAGTACTGAAAAATCTCGTAATGAAGAAACTCTCAGTACTGAAAAAAAACTCTCGTAGAAGAAATTCAGTACTGAAGAACTCCAGTACTGAAGAAAATCCAGTACTTTAAGAAACTCTCAGCACTGAAGAAATCTCGTCGTTTACTGAAGAACTCTCGTACTGAAGAACTCTAGACTTTAAGAACTTCAGTAATGAAGAACTCTCAGTACTGAAGAACTCTCAGTACTGAAGAACTCTCAGTACTGAAGAACTCTCAGTACTGAAGAACTCTCAGTACTGAAGAACTCTCAGCAGAAAACTTCAGTAATGAAGAACTCTCAGTACTGAAGAACTCTCAGTACTGAAGAACCAAAACTACCAAGATGGGAACACCAATGAACGTGAAAGAAGACATCAGAACACACAACACTGGTGGAGACATCAGAACACACAACACTGGTGGAGACATCAGAACACACAACACTGGTGGAGACGAGACATCAGAACACACAACACTGGTGGAGACATCAGAACACACAACACTGGTGGAGACATCAGAACACACAACACTGGTGGAGACATCAGAACACACAACACTGGTGGAGACATCAGAACACACAACACTGGTGGAGACATCAGAACACACAACACTGGTGGAGACATCAGAACACACAACCTGGTTGGGGAACATCAGAACACACAACACTGGTGGAGGGCATCAGAACAAAACACTGGTGGAGACATCAGAACACACAACACTGGTGGAGACATCAGAACACACAACACTGGTGGAGACGAGACATCAGAACACACAACACTGGTGGAGACGAGACATCAGAACACACAACACTGGTGGAGACGAGACATCAGAACACACAACACTGGTGGAGACATCAGAACACACAACACTGGTGGAGACGAGACATCAGAACACACAACACTGGTGGAGACGAGACATCAGAACACACAACACTGGTGGAGACGAGGGCATAGAACACACAACACTGGTGGAGAGAGACATCAAACACACAACACTGTGGAGACATCAGAACACACAACAATGGTGGAGACGAGACATCAGAAACCAAACCACTGGTGGAGACGGACATCAGAACACACAAACACTGTGGAGACGAGACATCAACACACAACACTGGTGGAGAGAGACATCAGAACACCAAACACTGGTGGGACAGACATCAGAACAAACAAACTGGGGAACGAGACTTTAGAAACAACAAAACGTGAGAAAATCAAACAACACCAACACTGGGTGCGAGAAAATCAGAACACACAACACTGGTGGGACGAGACATCAGAACACACAACATGGTGGAGACGAGGGCATCGAACACACAAAATGGTGGAGACGGACATCAGAACACACAAACACTGGGGGGACATCAAACCACAACATGGTGGAGACGAGGGACCCAGCCAGAAAACACCAGCAGAGGTGACTTCTCAGATAAAAGTTGCTCTTAACGTGAGATGAAAAAAATAATTTTAGTGTATACCAGCAAGTGATGAACCAATCAGAATCCAGATTACCTAGTGGTGACAATACTTCGACATACACACCAACCTTACACAATTAAAAAAATATTAATACACATAGGACAATATACCTGTATAAGTATATATGAGGCATACATCACAATACATATATACACATTGTGAATAACTATTTAAAAAAAATCTTGCAGTAATAAATTCAGTTCTATATTTTATCAAGTTGTCCTAGATTAAAATAAATATTAAAAATACGCGTATAAGTATAGTACCTGGATAATGGTGATTCATTTTTCTGTTCGATTCATCATATTTGTGGTCAAAATTCTTATTTTAAATGCATTTTGTAGTCATATGGGAGACTGTACCCCGGAACAGAGGCTGGTACACAAGTATGGAGAAAGCCTTACCCGCATCAGCCATGGGCAGCATTTTAAATTCGATGGCAGCCGCTTTTCAGGGTGGAAGACATGTGTGCCCGATTTGCGTCAAAAAAATTCCTTGCAGGGTTTGTGGTCACTTGTCCGCGGGTTTTTTGTTTTTTGGGCTACGGGGGGTTAGGCGTATCAAACCTTCTTTATCTTCATTCGGGAAAGTTCGAGAGTCAGGTTCTAGTGAATTTTAAGTTGTGAATTGCTAAACAAGCATTTAAAAAAATGAAAGTTGATTTTATATTTTTTCCTTTTTTTTTTTACAGAAGCTTACGAGGTATTTCAGAAAGGAAAAAGCAAACGAGGTTGAAGAAAAAGGAACAGTAAGATAAGTGAAAAACAGACACATGTGCAACATTGGGTATCTTTATTCTAACTTTTTACCAATAGTGGCTTTATCAATACAAGGGATGTTACCTCATCTTTTGTGTATAAAATTTACTTTTTTCCTGATGTCCTTTTATTTGCACGAGTGGAAAGGGTGCCCCCCCCTCCATGAAATACCTGTGATAAGAAGTGTGTGCCCGATGTGAAAACAGGAAAGCATAGTCTCTCAACCCCGACATCGATGATAAAATAACCAGGATCCTAAACTCTGCTTGATGAGAGAGTAATTTGTCATGAATCACTTCAGACCAACGTTGTTGTCAACGGTTGCAAAGGTGGCTAGAGATTACAGCATAATAATCTGAGAATGGAATACCTTTATATGAAATCGGAAGGTCAAGTACCTCTGACCGCGCCCACCTGCTCATTGCTCTAATCAACATGACCAGGGACCCAGCATAAAGCTATTTCATTGTTTTTGCTAGAAATGCGGCACACCAAAGTTGTAGGCAAGCACTAAAGGAGTCCAACACTGCCACAAATGCTGAGGTAGGCCTGGACGCAATACGGATAATTGCTATGATTATTATAATAAAAAAGATGCGCTAAACCACAAGGGCTATACAGTAATAATTGCTATGAGAAATGCATATAGTTTAGCTGTGAAAATGCTAGCTAAGTCTAACAAATGACCTCGCACAACACTGTCCGGAACACTGCTGGAACCTGACACCGTCAGAAGATTTAGACCCATCAGTGTAAACTGTAACGGCATGAGAATGAGACCATTAGTGGTCAAGAAAAAGGGAGCGAGAAGCAAATGTAGGTATTTGAACTTTCGCGCACGGCAGTGGGGAAAAAACAGACACGAACTTGCGGAACCTCCCAAGGGAGAAGAGAAAGTTAGATGAACATAGAAAGTGGGCAAATTAAGAAAAGTCAGGAGCGAGTGAAGACGAAAAAGGGACGATGTAAACAGGGGCGGTGAACAAATAATGGACCTTTACTAATGTCTGTCATTATTATAATCAAGGGGAAAGCGCTGAACCCGAAGTATTATACAGCCCCTGTGGGGGAATGTGGAAATTATTCAGGTTTAACTCAGGGAACTGGAGCACAGATCCAATTCTCTAGATCAAGAGCCCCTCACCAGCGTCAAAGAACCTCCCTCGAGGGGTAAACCCACAAGAGTCATGCAGTGTTGCAGGGTGGGATGGGTTGAGGATGAAATGTGCAAAGATCAGAGACCAGTGAGGGTCATTATAATAAAAAGCGCTAAATCTACAGGGGTTATACAGCGGCCAGTGAGGTTTGAAATATGAGAGGCAATGGAGAGCACTAAAGGGATTTTTTTTTTTTTAACAAGTCGGCCGTTTCCCACCGAGGCAACTAAAAAAAAAAAACCCTCCCCCCCAAAAATAATTTTAACACTTTCACCATCACTCATACATAATCATTGTCTTTGCAATGGTGCTCAGATACGGCAGTTTAGATATCCCTCCAAATTGCCAATATCCTAAACCCTTCCTTTAAGGTACAGGCACTATACTTCCCATTTCCAGGACTCTGAGTCCAGCTAACTGGTTTCCCTGAATCCCTTCACAAAATATTACCCTGCCCACACTCCAACAGCTTGTCAGGTCCCAAAAACCATTAGTCTCTATTCACTCTTAACACACGCATTCTTGCTGGATGTCCAAGCCCCTCGCCCACAAAACCTCCTTTACCCCCTCCCTCCAACCTTTTCGGGGACGACTCCTATCCTGCCTTCCTTCCCAGTAGATTTATACGCTCTCTAAGTCATTTTTTGTTCCATTCTCTCTAAATGACCAAACAACCTCAATAATTGAAGGACCCCAATGGAAATAAGTCACTCTGACTTTTTTGGGTTATCCTGGGTTCTCTATACACATATGCTGCTATGTATGATAATTCTATGTAACTGTATTTGTGTATACCTGAATAAACTTACTAACCCCTCTTCAGCCTTCTGACAAAGTTGGTGTATACAATCATATAACAATGGGAAAGCGCTAAACCCATAGGATTATCCAGTGCTTGTGGGGGGATGAGGAAGGTATTCAGACTTAATTCAGGGAACTGGAACACAGATCCAATTCCCTAGAGCAAGAGCCCTCACCAGTGTCAATGAACCTTCCTTGAGGGGTATACAATCATAATTAAGCACTAAACCTACAAGGGTCATACAGCATTAGAGAATGGATAACCCCTTTATGAATCAACGTTATAAACATTATCATAATCAAAAAAGCGCTAAGCCACAAGGGCTATACAGCAACGTTATAAACAACCGTGTGTGGTTTGCCTGCTCGATGACCTAAACACCTTGTCTAAGGACCCTAAGAGGAACAATAAACCCTTAAGCAGCAAGGAATTCAAGTTTGATCCAAAAGGGAGTAAAAGTCCCAATCCCTGGAACAGGGTCCCCTTGCTCGCATCAAAGCACCTCCCTGGTGGTCAACACCCAGTTCTGTGGTCTAGTAATTGCAAATAGGTAATTATGTTTTAGGATCTTTGGAATGCATAAGTGATTTGATTCAATCCAAAGAAAGGGATAGCCTGAATTCCTTGGTCGAAGAACCCTTCACTGCCATCAACTACACCAGATTTCCTTGAATCAAATTTTCATGAAACTCAGCAGGGTCTATAGGAGTACAAAACTGATGGGAAGAGGAAACACAATCATGTTGGACACTTTATTAAAAATGTTTTTTCGGCTTTTAATTTTTTTAACGTGGTTACAGTAACAATTGGAAGCCCCTAGTAATAAAGAGCTTAAACTTTATTAAAGGCTGCTACATCTACTGATTGAACGAAATCCTCAAATTCTTGAATCTTCTCAATGAGGTCGTCAACAGAGACTTTTGCGTCCTCCACTGTACACAGGATGCTCAGTTTCATTATACCAAATGCCAGAGGGTTTAATTTGCCTGGAAGAAAAAAAGTACATAATTTCAGTGTACAACATAAATAAATGGTATGATGATCATGCATGGTAAGTCATTTTTAAAGGGCTTTGATAAGCTGCCTTCCATTTACATGGTAAAGTAACAAGACCTCCAAGTGAGCCCATTATTTTAAGGCATATGCTGGATATCACTGAACAAGTTTAATATACGGGACTTTACGTGGAGGTGAGAATATGGTTACACAAAACTGTGGAAACTAAGTAATGGCTCTTAACTTTATTATTATTATTATCACACTGGCCGATTCCCACCAAGGCAGGGTGGCCCGAAAAAGAAAAACTTTCACCATCATTCACTCCATCACTGTCTTGCCAGAAGGGTGCTTTACACTACAGTTTTTAAACTGCAACATTAACACCCTCCTTTTAGAGTGCAGGCACTGTACTTCCCATCTCCAGGACTCAAGTCCGGCCTGCCGGTTTCCCTGAATCCCTTCATAAATGTTACTTTGCTCACACTCCAACAGCACGTCAAGTATTAAAAACCATTTGTCTCATTCACTCCTATCAAACACGCTCACACATGCCTGCTGGAAGTCCAAGCCCCTCGCACACAAAACCTCCTTTACCCCTCCCTCCAACCCTTCCTAGGCCGACCCTACCCGCCTTCCTTCCACTACAGACTGATACACTCTTGAAGTCATTCTGTTTCGCTCCATTCTCTCTACATGTCCGAACCACCTCAACAACCCTTCCTCACCCCTCTGGACAACAGTTTTGGTAATCCCACACCTCCTCCTAACTTCCAAACTACGAATTCTCTGCATTATATTCACACCACACATTGCCCTCAGACACGACATCTCCACTGCCTCCAGCCTTCTCCTCGCTGCAACATTCATCACCCACGCTTCACACCCATATAAGAGCGTTGGTAAAACTATACTCTCATACATTCCCCTCTTTGCCTCCAAGGACAAAGTTCTTTGTCTCCACAGACTCCTAAGTGCACCACTCACTCTTTTTCCCTCATCAATTCTATGATTCACCTCATCTTTCATAGACCCATCCGCTGACACGTCCACTCCCAAATATCTGAATACGTTCACCTCCTCCATACTCTCTCCCTCCAATCTGATATTCAATCTGGCTCTTAACTATTTTGTTAATTACAGCTGAAGAGGCCATGTGACATGGTTCAATCATACTAATTATGTCTCGTTAAAGTTTTTCATTCATTTTCACATCACTGAAATTATCAGGATAAGGTTAAAATATATACAAGTCCTAACACTAATTCAAACCCAAAATAAAATAGGGTTTGCTAGCCTGGAAAAAGAATTCACAAATTTGCATTAATCATATTACACAAGTTAAACAAAAAGGTTAGGCAAAAAATTAGGATAATTAAGGTACCATATTAGACATACAGGTATGGTACTTAAGCTGCTCACAGCTTTAATTATGCTAATAACTGATACATTTCAGTCCTGGGACTCTGGCCACTATAAGTGATACAAGATAATGAGATTATAATAATCAAAACCAAGCTATAAAACCCACAAGTGTTACACGGAACTGCATGGAAGGGTGTGCTTGCTATATTAAGAGACTAGTGAGGGTGGAGAGGATAACAGAGGTAGAGCTAAAGAGGACTGAGGAGTGCTAAAGGAAGTACCATCAAAGTTTGTAATAAATTTTTTGCTGTCAAAGTCAGAGGGAATCTGTCAGCTAGGAGGGAAGATAGAGTAAGGGTATTAGTGTTGAAGACATCGGAGGTAAATTCTACGTGTTCGTTGATAGAGGACAGTCCAACAGAATATGGCAAACTGAAATTGGAACCTGACAATTCTCTGAGTGGAACTGGGCGCCTCTCCACAAGATACTCACGAGTGAGATGTGTGTGCCCGATGTGAAGATGGGAGAGCCTAGTCTTCCAACTCCGGCACTGAGAAGGCCAGAAACCTAAACTCGGCTTGATATATAATTTATGACACAAATTAGACCAACATTGTTGCCAACAGTTGCAAAAGTGGCTAGAGATTACAGCAAAATAGTCCGAGAATGGAATACCCCTATATGAAACGTGAACGTCTAGTACGCTGACCACGCAGCCGAGTCTGCCTGCTCACTGAATTGAACAGTTACATGACCCAGCAGAAAATGATTTCTTTATTTCCGCTAAGGATGCAGCGCAACCAAAGTTGGATACAAAGAAGTAGAGGACGAGACAAATTAAATTTTTTGATAGCCTGCATAGCACTCAAGATAATGAATAACAGTTGAAAATGCACATAACTGCATTCTAAACTACGCATGCTGTTTTTCATATTCTCTTGTATAATTTAGGTACCAAAACCAATGAAATATCTTGGGATAGCAGGAATTTAAATATGTAGGCAAAATGCATGTTTAAACGCTGAAGTCACAGAATATGAGCATTTTATTTTTTCGGTGTTGTGGAAGCCACTGGTTTTGGCCTGAACATGGCCAGGGAGGTACTACCGTCCTGCCAAGTGTGTAAAACGGAAGCCTGTAATCGTTTTACATGATGGTAGGGCTGCTGGCGTCTTCTTTCTGTCTCAAACATGCAAGGTTTCAGGTACGTCTTGCTACAGGTCCGCCATCACAAATCCGGCAATCAGTTATTCGGTTCCTTCAGTTATTCGGCACTAATTTTGGCTACCATAATTTTAAATTTCCAGAGTCGCCACACCAGCCTGCTGGTACTGTTTGGTGGCGCTACTTGCTGCATAAGTCATTCTAATTTCTTTTTCTCCATTTGTTATAACCTGCTTACTTTTAGCCCTAGCTATGGTTCCAATGAATAAAAGAAATGCTTCTCGTTGTATAAAGCACCGACACAGTACATTGTCCATTAAAGATAGGTGGCTTTGAAGCCACTGTCGGTTGCCATGAGCTCAGTCTCGTGATGCAGAATATGCTTTATTATTACGCTAATATCAACACTACAGCATATTGCCTATCACAATTGATATAATATGACATAATAAACAATATAAATAACAAAACATGTTAAATACTTCAGAATGAATAATATTTGGCATTATACCGAGCAGTTCAATGGAGGTACGAAGAGGATATATATGGTATACAAATACCATTCTCCTATCCTTGTCTTGGGGGCTAATATTACAGAAAACGGAGTACAGGTCTCCCTCAACATTCACGTTTTCAACTTTTACGGGCTTCACACATTCGCGAATTCCCAACCGCCAAATTCCCAGCCACCAAATTCCCAGCCGCCAAATCATATTTAAGTTTCCCGCCACCTGCGAGTCCCTACTACCCTCCCTCCGACCCCCACAACTGGCAGCCAGCCCTCCCACCACTCAGTGTGGTGAGTGTTTTGTTTGTTCATTATTTGCTATTAAACTACAGTATAAATAATGTAAACCCATTCATGACTGCATATTGGAATGGCTATTCGGACAGGTATTAGACGGTGACATCATGTGTTTACTCTTGAACACTGCAAAGAATTAAACATTTCTGCTACAGCTAATAATAACAATAGTAATAATAATAATAAATATGATATAATTGAAGAAGGAAATTGTACAAAAATACAAGGGAGTGGTTGACAACATCCATCAGTGTGACTTTGTTTATGCTGGAGTGAACATTTAGTCCCTGCTCTTCCAAACATTTCACATAATTCATTGTGTTTGGTGTTGTAGATGAGTGTGACTGGATGTAGAGGCAGTGATTGAGCAATGGTATTTAATAACATACATGTTAATAATAATACATGTTATTAATATGTACTATTATTATTTATAACATAGATGTTATTAAATACCACTGCCTCAACTGCTGAATTACTGTGAAATGTTTGAAGAGCAGGGAGACTAATGTTCACTCCAGCATAAACAAAGTCACACTGACGATGTGTCAACCACTCCCTCGTATTTTTGTACAATTTCCTTCTTCAATTATATCGTATTTAATTATTATTATTATTACTATTGTTATTATTAGCAATAGCAGAAATGTTCTATTCTTTGCTTTGTTCAAGAGTAAACACATGATGTCACCGTCTAATACCTGTCCGAATAGCCATTCCAATATGCAGTCATGAGTGGGTTTACATTATTTATTCTGTAGTTTAATAGCAAATAATGAACAAACAAAACACTCACCACACTGAGTGGTGGGAGGGCTGGCTGCCAGTTGTGGGGGTCGGAGGGAGGGTAGTAGGGACTCGCAGTGGAGGCATTGGTGGAGTCTGTGGTATTTAATAACATACATTATTAAAGCATAATATGTATATATTTAGTACAATTTACGACGTTTTCATGTATTTTATGATTATTCATGGTTCAAGAAGTTAAGGAAGCAGTATTGTAATATATTTCCCTACAATATATTGGGGGACCAAACATTCACGGTTTTTCAACATTCGCGAGGCTCTTGATCCCCTAACCCTCGCGAATGTTGAGGGAGACCTGTATAGCACAGGGATAATTGTGATATACACTCGTACTGCACCATAAACCTGAAACAAAAAAGTTATTTTCTCTATATAGATTATCACACACAGCAGCATGTGTAGAGAACCTAGGATAACCCAAAATAGTCAAACAACATGGCTTATTTCTAGTACCTGGCTTGGGTTAGCCATATATGATTTTTGGTAATTATTCGATTCCCAGCCAGGGTAGAAACACTGGGCGTGTTTCTTTATACCTGTTGTCTAAGTTCACCCATCAGTAAATGGGTACCTAGGTGTTAGCCGACTGGTGTGGGTGTTATCCTGGGACACTGACCTAATTTGCTTGAAATACTCTGCATAACAAGCAGCTTTCTATATAGTAGTATGTCACTGTATATACATTGTACATGTAAGTGTAGTAAATAAAATTATTATTACTGTTATTTTCTCAATTGTTTGTTGGGTTACCTTATTGAAACTTGGGCAATGTATGATGGAATGATACTTCTTAACGTACACCAAAAATGAAAGAAATCAGACTATAAATAGCAGAGTTCACTTCTCAGCCATTAGCGGCCGCTTAGCAGTATATTTTTGTATGGTTGCTATGGTTATATTCTCGTTTTTTTGGTCTCATTTGATAGAATGAAAGATATATTACAGAAATAGATATGATTTCGATTGCTTTTATGACGAAAAGTGCCTTGAAATTGCGCTCAGTAGCGAAAATGATCTATTCTTTAGCAAAGCTCAAGAGTAAACAAATGACGTCACCGTCCAATACCTGTCCGCCTGCCAGTCCAAATTCCAATACGGAGTCAAGAACGGGTTGACATTATTTATACAATTATTACAGTAATGCAGCAGTCTGCATAACAGTAAATCTTCTATTTTTTGTGAATAAAAATTCCAAATGAAAAGCAAGAGTAATATACGAGGGGCCTGGAGCAGTGACTAATGAACAGAGAAAATGTTATTTTAGTGCTAGGAATGTCTGCATTATTTATTCTGGACCCTATTTTGAAATTGGCATCTGTTGAAATTTGTGTGAAATTGGCCAAATTGCCAATTTCTGACCACTATATTGAGTAGTTGAAATAAGTGAATGGGCGGTTTCTTGTACTCAGTCGACAGACTAGAAGTTTATTCAGGTATACATAAATACAGTTACATAGATTATCATACATAGCAGTGTATGTATATAGAACCTAGGATAACCCAAAAAAGTCAGACAAAGTGACTTATTTCCAGTACCTGGCTTGGGCTTGCCATATATGATTTTTGGTAAATATTTTTTTCTCCCAGTTGTTTGTTGGGCTGTCTTATTGAAACGCGGGCAATGTATGATGGAAAGATGCTTCTTAACGTACAACAAAAATAAAAAAGACGGACGATAAATAAGGGAATTCACTTCTCAGCCACTAGTCGCCTCTTTGCAGTATATTTTCACATGGTTTTCATGGTTGCAGTCTCGTTTTTTTGGTCTCATTTGATAGAATGGAAGATATATTACAGAAATAGACATGATTTTGATTGCTTTCATGAAGAAAAGTACCTTGAAATTGAGCTCCAAGTAGTGGAAATGTTCGATTTTTGCCGATGTTCAATGAACTTTGTGTAAGTTGGTTAATTTTATTAAGTGTATTCTAATCTAACCACTCTGTAATACAGCACACTACAGGTCCCAATGATGCCGGATGACCTGTACTTCTACTTACATTTAGGTCACACTACACATGCATGTACAAGCATATACACACACCTCTCTGAGTTTTCTATTTTCTTACTTGTTTTTGTTTATTTCCTCTTATCTCCATGGGGAAGTGGAACAGAATTCTTCCTCCGTAAGCCATGCGTGTCATAAGAGGCGACTAACATGCCGGGAGCATGAGGTTAGTAACCCCTTCTCCTGTATACATCACTAGAGTTAAAGAGAAACTTTTTTCTTTTTGGGCCACCCTGCCTCAGTGGGATACGGCTGGTGTGTTGAGAGAAGAATGGCTACAATATGGTGGAGATAAATCTCCACCATATTGTAGCCATTCTTCTCTCAAATTTCTTTTCAAATTTCTTCTTTCAAATTTCTTGTGAATTTACATGCATACTGGACATTCATGATAAATGTGAGCATGGCGCTTGACTGCTTCTTGCCTTTGACATGACATACCTTTCATAATTAATAATGCACTATGGTAAGGACCCACAGGAACCAAGTCACTGATTATTTTTGGGTTATCCTAGGTAATTTACACTCTGATAACTATATTTGTGTACCTGTAACTCAATAAACTTGTGTGGCAAGTTTAAAAGCTGGGCAGAGAAAAGTAAGATTATGGTAAGTATTAAGTTTGATGTTTTTTACATTAGAAATCATTTTATGGCTACAAATAGTGGTAAAAAAAAAAAGGTCTTGTCCATGGGTGGATTCAAAACCTGATATACAAGTCTCACTGGTGGCAGACAAAGAAAAAGTATTCCAAACAAATGGATAACTATAGTTAATACTGCATTGTGTAAACTGGTAGAAATGTCAGCAAGTCACTGACAAGCAAAAAGATAAGCAGGTACTGTATGTAAACACATTCACAGTTTAAGAAAGAGTGAATGTCTTGTCAAAAGTGGTGAGAAGGTTCCTCAATAAATGTCTAACTGAGCACATCTTTAAATACTGTCATTATCGCCATACCTGTTCTCCAGCCCTGTAACAGGATATTTGCCAATTACCAATCCTTACGAGTAAATAAGGGCTAAAAAGGTACTCTTAGTAGTCCCAAAAGAATGAGACTGACTACCAAATACTGAGAGTACGGTACAATACTTCAACATCCATTACACAATCATAATTTTATTTAATTTACTGCTAAACTCATGGGTCATTCAGTCAAGGAATGGTATAGGCTCGATCCTCCATCTACTAATTGCAGCCCAGTCATCAGCCAGACTGGAATGGACTTCCATTCCTTACACACAAGGCTGAACTGTATAAACTAAAATCCCTTGAAAATACGACACTTCATTCTCTCTCTCTCTTGCTTCAACATCCACATACAGAACCGAGAAAAAATTACTTACTGGCACCCCAGACGAGACCATCCATGGCAACAGTTCGAACTTTTTCCTCCATTGCCTTCATGTCAGTCTCATCATCCCAAGGTTTGCAATCTAAGAGAATCTGGGATTTAGCAATAGGGCCAGGTTTAACAGCCTTCTTCGCTGCATAAGCTGCCAAACGCTCCTCCCTCACACGTGCTGCATCTGGGTCCTGTGAATTATCATTGGCATTCAGAGAAAAACCTCAATTTTTAACTTACTTAATCTAAATAAATCTAATTCAGATACTATCTAGCAGAGCACATGGAATATTACTATTCACCTTTTAAGTTGTTTATTCATCATAAAGAGGAGACGTTAAGATCTAAAAAAAAACTTCATTGATGCTCAGTAGAGATTATAATTTAACCCAACATTTTCAGAATAATACTAACTTCTTCCTCATCATCTGAACCGAAGAGATCCACCTCTTCATCATCATCGTCGTCATCAGCAGGTGCAGCAGCAGGAGGTGCAGCAGGAGCGGCAGCAGCGACAGGAGCTGGAGCTGGGCCGTTACTTAGAGCTTTCTTCTCTCCAGGGAACTTAAACTTTTCAACAACAAAGGAAGCAATGTGGTTAAACCACCGCAAAGCGTGGGCAAAATTTTCTGCAGGGGCTTTGCCAATGCTTTCATAAACGCTCACGTCTGCCTGAGACGGTGAAAAACTGGAAAAGAAAAAAAAAATGTGCAAGCTCCATACATTGGCAGAATATTAAATCTAAAAACATATAACAATCAAGTGCATAAAATAAAATCAAAGAACAGTATCAAGTAAGAAAATCTATGATATTCTTAACATTCAGAAGAATGGAAAGAATACCTACAAGACATTATTAATGGAAGATGGAAGCAAAGAAGAAAATTATAAAGAAAAATGAGGAAAAGAATTTGAAAATTTTAAAAGCCAGAAAAAGTCAGATTAAAAAAAAACGTAACATTAACAATTATCATATTATTTTTAAAATGAGAAATTGCTATATCCGTAGGGGTCATATAACGCCTGGGAGGTAATCAGGTTTGATCCAAGGAGTCGAGGATATTATTATTATTATTATTATTATTATAAAGGGGGAAGCACTAAACCCGTAGGATTATACAGCGCCTGTGGGGGGGGATGGAAGGTATTCAGGGTTAATTCAGAGAACTGGAGCACAGATCCAGTTCCCAAGATCAAGAGCCCCTCACCAGCATCAAGGAACCTTCCTCGAGGGGGGAGTCGAGGATAAATCCAATTCCTTGAATCAAAAGCCCCTCACACGGCAACAAGAAACCTTCCTGGAGACCAACAATAACTAAAAATTACGTTAAAGATCTAGCATCACAGCCAGGAGCTGTGACTCGACCCCTGCAGCCATATATAGGTGAATATTATAAATTACAACTGGTCGGGAGTTGGGTCTCTGCCAAGTCTACATTTACGGCATAAAACACCACAATGACAATTTCTCTCAACCTACTTTTGCAAATTGTTCTTCTCGCCGACCAGCAAAGAAATCAATATTAAAACATTACAAATAGTCATCTATTTATCCCCAAAATTCTCAGATTCATGTCCTGTCAGGACCAACACAAACACATGGCGAATACCACCCCCGCCTACTTATTTGCTCATTTTACCTGTCAGAACTTACCCTTCGATGTAGCTTTTATCCCCGAGGTAATCGTTAAGGGCTTTGACACCATCACTGCTCTTCAAATTGCCGAAATTAGTCATATTGATGGTTATTTTTGTCAAAATATGAGCGCCCTGTGCTCAGCCTTGCCACTCCGGCACCAGAGAGACGGTCAGAGGACCATATATTGTCCGCATGCCTCAACATAAATTTATATTTCATTATATTTGTATTCTATCGGCCCCGAGCTTCTGTTAAATACCTAATAATACAAAATTAATATTCTCACTAAATTACAATTAAATATCATAGATATATCTAATAGATACAAATACCCTGTTACCTCAAGGAATCCAAAGCCAGAGTCATTATCCACTAGTGTCTCCTGCACTGGACATTCTAATGGTTCCAAAATTCATTGCATAAATTATAAATAAATCATACATAACTTATATAACAAACACTATATAACCTTTCCCAGTATTTAAATATGAAAGTTAAATAGACCGTGTGTAAGGAGGAAGGTATTTAAAACCATCTGTCAACTGGATTATTTTCTAACTTGCATTTTCCCGCGTTATTATAAATTTCTTAAAGTAGGACGTAAGTTTATTTAGGTAGAGATACACATAAATACAGTTACACAAATTATCATACATAGTAACACATATGTAAATTATGTAGGATAACCCTCCCCCCCCCAAAAAAAAAAAAAAAATAAGTCAAAATGACTTATTTCCATTGGGGCCCTTGTAATATCATATTTTTAATCTTTAAAAGTTAAAACACCACTATATATCATTGTCAAGTCTTCATACATGTTCTTCCCACCTCCTCTTACCAATGTGAAGAGGAGACCTAGGAATAATAATAATAATAATAATAATAATAATAATAATAATAATAATAATAAATAATAATTTAAAAATAATAATAATAATATAATTGTAATAATAATAATAATAATATAATAATAATAATAATAATAATAATAAAATTCATTGCAAGTAAATAATGCAGCTAATGTGACCTACTGACATCATCATTCTATATTTGCCAATAAAATAGTCATATGATATTTTGGGATTATCCCAGGTTATAAACTGATGTTGCTATGTATGATAATCGTGTAACGTGTGTTACCTGAATAAACTTACTAAAAAGCCCGTCCAAGAGTTTTTTCGTCCTAGGTGCTAGGCACAAGAAAAGGGGCTCATTAATTCCATCTTTCCCAAGTGGGGCATCTCGAAACTCAAAAAAAAAAAAATCGCCCGTTTTTTTTCCCCGGGAAACCAGGGATGCAATGTAGTTTGGGGTTTTGCCCAAATTTAAAAAAAATACACAAACTGCATAATTGGGGTCTCCAAAACTTTTTAGGGAAATTTTTTTGGGAATCAGCGTTTTAAGGGGGAAGGGCTGCTTTGGGGTGACCTCAGACGACTCTGACAGGGCTCCCAAAGTTTTCGTCAATTCCTTATTGGTTTTCTCCAGTACGAGGGCCATGGGTCTGTAGCAATTATTACATCTTTCCTATAAATCATTGCCACATTCAGAGCACCGGCTTTCTATGTGAAGATTACACTCTTTACACTTACGACCAAGCGCACTACCACATATAAAACATTCCTGTTGAATATTTTAGACGCAAGTTTTGCAAAAACTTTTCTTTAAAGTGGGTGCAGGTGTCTGGTCTGAGACAGGTCCAGGTAAACTCCAGGCTCTATAAAAATTCATTCCGTGTTATCTTACACCTTTTCCTATTTTCTAATGGTTAAATTTAACACGAATATTATATACTCTCATATAATATTGCCCCTGCTCATCATAGAATTTTAACTGGAGTTACATAGTGCCCTTACCTGCATTTAGGTCAAAGACCTCCATTTGGATTGTCCAAATATCTTCCTCATTTAAGACGTCGTATGAGAACTCTGATGCAAGTTCCTATATGGGATACTTATTTCTTTTACAGATTTTTTCAACCACCGCGTCCGGGGTTACTATCTTAACCTCGATTTTAAAACCTACGATGGTCAGCCATTTATCTAATACTTATTTGATTTTATCCTCAGATAAACTTTCGAGTACATAATTTATAATGACATGGTTTTAACGTAATCTATCCATATATCGAGATTCTAAATACGAGAAAAAGTGATAAGGTTTGAACACATGCACGATACTTGTTTTGTCACATACAAATGTTATGTCATCGACAAGGCGTAAAGCCTTGTCCAGTTAAATTTTGATGTCACATTCTGCACCCGCAGGTACTTTTAAATAGTCCTTCACGGCAATTATAGTCCTGTATGTAAGATTTTGAAGCGTGCAAAAATAGGGTTACCATACATCGTCACCTTTACCATACAGTATAACCACTATCGATGCTTTCTACCCTAGTTTTTTAGCGAAAGGGGAAAATTAGAAGAAAGACAGAAATTTGCATAGAGCCCAAATTTCTGTACAAGTTTCCACATTGATGAGGATAAAGATTAATTCTGGGGTATGTGCTGCTTGCTGAAGACGTTCTGTGACATAGGCCTCTGTAGTGAGAGTCTCCTTGCTGGCTGGGCATGAAGTCCCACATATAATACATGCTTTCATTCCCTTATACACTAAGGCATAACAGGTTTTATTCTCGCATGGGAAAGTCTTAGTGAATTCTTATTTGGGATTCTGAGACTTAAAATTAGTTACAGTAATAATACTTTTAAAAACGGGGCAGTTTTTACAGTAGATATTATTAGCTCGTAACACTGTCTTTCTGCATGCTTTTCTTGCCATCTTTAGTTCGTTATCCGTTTATTTCTCTTGATCCTTTTTATTCTGTGGTAAGGAGTCATGTACTGATGGTCTTAGCAGTTTAAGCGCCATTAATATGCAAAAAACAAGCAGGAATGAAGCGCAAACCACAAATGATACTGCTATATATTTTAAAGGCGTCTGCAGTAATAAAATTGAAATCCAGATAGCTAAGATTTTGCAAAAATTACCACTCAAATTATACTTCTTAGTGTAGGTGGTGAGGATGAAATTATAATTGAAGGCAAGGCCCAAGCTTAGAAAAGCACATTTGAGTAAGAATATAAAATCCTCCATGGTATTAGTGGTGGCGTCATAAATTCTTAGACCTGCATATAAGAGCAAAAAGGCCTAAGCCGAAATATATGCTGAAGAAACGAGATTTATGACGAAATATTTTTTTTTCAAGAAGAAGCAAAACTCTGGTCCCGTTAAAGAATTTAATGTCTTTTGGCTACTGTTCGCAATTCTCGAGGCCTTGGAGTGAGAGAGTCCTAGTTAATTATATCAGACGCTTTTATACCCAGGGAATTAATAAGTTCAATCATCTCATCCGGAGAGGGCAATTGAATTATTTTGGGATGTTCTGGAACACTTTTTGACGTCTGTTTGTCTTCCTCACCAAGTCGTACATTTTCAGTTATTTTAGTATCAGGCGGATTTGCATACATCTCGACGACACACGGTTCCTGCCTGCCAGGCTAGGCTCGCTCAGAGTTTTCCAGTCCATCAGGACTGGGAGGTATTTCTTCCATAGTCTCTTATTAGCAAGAAGTGGAGGATCCACTTGTGCCTTATCCAGTGTGGCATTACTCAGGGTTTTATAACGGTGTATAATCCACCTCAATATTGGAGCACTCTCTCTCCTGAACATACATCTGATCAAGGGAGGAAACTCTTACCTCTCTCTCTGTTTCCATAACTTACTGTGGAGACGTGCCTGTCTTCTCGCCCTGAGGAGAGGCTTACCCTGTGGGTTTTTTCCTAAACAACTCTAAAATCCTTTTCTTAAGCCACCTAAAAGGCCTTTTACGCTTTCTCTTGGCTCGGTCGTCAGGAATTTCTTCACACTATTATCCATGACTGAGTTTACAGATAAATGCAGTACACTCATTTTATACAACTTTCATCCACACATTTACAAAAATAATCCAAAAATGAAAAATTAGGCTGTTAGGAATATTACAACTGCGGTTCCATTAATCTTCTGGGCATTAAGATTACATTCATGGGGGAAGCGCTAAACCAGTAAGGGCTGTGGGGCTTCAATTGAATGGGAAAAGGTGGGGGGGGGGTTAACCCAAAGGGATGACAGAGCCAATGCCTTGGAACAAGAGCTTAGCTAATCGGGAGAATACCAACAGCTGCAAAGTGTTGATTGGTTGTGTCAGGCAGCGGAGCAGTCTGATGATTGTGATGTGTAGTGATTTTGGGGGATGTAGGATGTATGTTGATTTAATGTTGGTGATTGTGTGTATATGGTTTGTAGTTAGTAGTGATTGGGAGGGGTTAGGGGGAGGTGTGTATGATTGTTTTAGTGATGGGGTGTGGTAAAATTTAGTGATTTTGGGTGAGGATTTTTGGTTTTTGTATGTCGAGGTTGTGTACGATGAAAAAATGGTTTGGGGTTTGTGAAGGGGGGTTTGAGTTGTGTGGATTTATTTGATTGTTTTATGATTGTTGTTGTAGAGGGGTTTGTGGTTTGTTTGGTACATCTTTGAAATTTTTTGGGTTTTACGGTTTTTGTTTTGGGGGGAAAATTTGGTATCAGGTTTTTTCCCCGGAATTGGTATTGTTTGTTATTGTTTTATATTGGGGATGGAGGGGAGGGAAAAGGGGGTTGGGGGGTTGTGTTTTGTGAGGGGAGTGGGTGAGAAAGTGTTTGTGGTTGTTTAGGTGTTGTAGGTTGTATTTTGATTTTGAGAGTGTAGTTGTGAGTGATTTGGGGATGGAGGGGTGTAATGTTAAGTTTTTTGGGGTTTTGAAAGTTTTAATGTGGGGGAGGTTGGATGTGTGTGGAGGGGGGTGTGTGGAGAGTTGTGTATGTGAGGTAGAATTGGGGGAAGTGGTTAGTGATGTTGTGAGGGTTTTTAGTGTTTGTGTAAGTTGGTAGTGTTAAGGGGAAGGTTTTGTCGGGGTTTGTAATTTGTTGATTTTTCGGGTTTTCCACCGTTCCCTAAAAATTTGTTTCCCGTGCCCCCCCGCAGCCGTTAGCCCTGACCAGGCCTTAAAAAAACCCAAATTTTTGGCGGAAAAGGGGTTAGGATGGTGGTAAAGGGGGGTAGTGATGGTGTGGGGTGGTGTGGGGTGGTGGGGGGGGAAAAGTGATGGTGGAAAGGGGTGGTAGTGATGGTGGTAGGGGGTTTGTAGTGATTTGGTGGTTTTAGGG